TTCAAAACCCTAAAACTCATCAACAACCTTAGCCGCCGCCTTCAACGTTCAGCTTCCCAGACTGCCGCGTGAGCTATCGCCGGTGAGCCCTCGAGCCTTGTCATCAATAGTGGCCGATAGTGCAAAATAAAAACCAAAACAGTGAAAATCAATCCATATCACCAAATCCAAACCCCAAATAAAAAAATCCCTAATCCCAAAAATCCAAAAATATGGGATTTTCACTCAGCTATACTAAGAGAAATCAAAGCCTATCGAATAGATGTTATCATCTCACCCAAAAGAACCGATTAAAACGAACATGCAACAAAGAGAGGGCATTCGGAGGGATTCAAACCAAACAGAGAACATTAAAAAACCATGCACCATTCAAACAAAAAAAAAATAGACCATTTGACATAGAGAAAAAAACTTACCCTTTCCCGACCAGGCCTTTGCTCATCGAATAGGGGTCCATTTGTTTGAATGTAAGGTTTTGTTTTAAAATTTTGAGGGATCGAGGGTTTGGTTTTAGGTGGTTTTAGGAAAATGAATGAGGAGGGATAAGTAGGGCTCTGTGGGTGGTTTATTTTAGGTGTCGACAGCCTCGTCGCTGTTGGGAACGTCGTGAATCGACGATTATTTGAGGAGTTTGGGGAGAGAGTTTAAAACTCCTTTTTTTTTTTTGGCTGTGAAACAAATGAGAAATAAGGGTGTCAAAAACCCTTAAAGTGATATAAATATCCAGTGAAATGATGTCGTTCAGTGAGTATAGGGTTTCAGTGTGTTTAAAAGGGGTTAATCTCATATTTAGTCCTTCTCCTTTGTAAACTCACCGTGTCCTGGGCTTAGGGTTAAGTTATATTTGGTCCCTGTAATTTGTAAACCTTTCGGTTTTCATTCATGAATGAAATTTTAATGGCTTTCACTTTGAACTCTATCTGTTTAACATTGTAATTTAGTCCTTGTTTGTTTTAAATTTTTTATTGGTATTATTCAGTTTGGTCATACTGTTTTAGTATATTTGTATTTAAGTAATGCATATTTTATATGTTTCATTCCCAGTCCTTATTATTATTATTATGATGTTTTTTTTGTTTAAATTACTTTAGTGGCCTATTTTATATTTCATTTTGATCCCTTTTGTTCACTAGTTTTTTTTTGGGTAAATACTTTGTTTTGAGCTCTGATTTGTGATTTAGTTCATTTAGTCACTGATTTAGATGTGGTGTTTTTTTCTTTGATGTTTCAATTTGGTCATGTTATTGTATGGCTTTTATTTTGGTCACCAATGGGCTTTTGGTTTTAAGTATTGTTTGGCCCTTTATCTTTCTGTTACCTCATTTTGGTCACTAACATATTTATGGGTTATTTTCATTTAATGTATGTATTATTTAATATTTGCATTTGAACTCTAGTTTATTTTGTAACTACTGTTTAGCCTTTTTTAGTTTATGTTAATACCATTTTAGTTCTTTAAGTTTCTGTTTATTTATTTATCCCCTCAAGTTTCTGTTTTTTATTTAGACCCTTAAATTATGTTTTTACTTTTAGCCATTAAATTTATGTTTTGGCCATTTTAGTCCTTTAAATTCCTATTTGTACTATTTTGGTCCATGAGTTTGTGTTTGCTATTTTGGTCCTTTATAATTTCAAATACTTACTTTTTGCTCATTTATATCTCGATTTGTAATTTTATTGTTTTCATTTCAATCCCCTATGTATGCACATATTGTAAATATTGTTATTTTATGTTGTAAATGTTTTATTTTACATCATATGTGTTTCTATATTTCTTTAAATATTAAGGTTATTTGAATAGTTTCGAGAACGCGAATTTGTAGAATGGGCGTGGAAAGTATCACTTGATCGAAGTGGTACAATCCAATACGACATTCGAACAAAACAAACTTGAAATAAATCAATTTATTTCAGTAATTAATTTATTTGCTGATACATGTTTGTTATTTTAATTCACAATTATTTCATTGTATGTGAATGCAAATCGTCGATTTTTATGTATATTCGATTCGTATATTTATTAATGAGGGAATATTCTTTATTTGATAAGAAATAGTCGAGTTAACTTTCCCGATGGAGGATTACTAATTTCGAGACTTTCTTTTGAGTTAAAGAATTTTCTGTAATTAATTAATTCGAAGCAAATTAATTAATTTTAATAAATGGATAACATTTTAATTATCGATGCGATTTATAGTTTCCACCATTACGACGATATGTAAGCGACACAGTACCAATTTGGGCGTTGTGGGGTGCTCACTATTCCCACACCTAACCGACTCCCGAACTCGTTTTAATACTATTTATGGTAAACGCAGACCATTTTTGTCTTAAAAACGATTTTTTTTTCTTAAAATTGTTTTAAAAGACATTTTTAGGTATTCGACCTACCTAACCCAAAGGTCGATGGCGACTCCTTTTCAATTTAATTCAAAAATCTAAAATCACCAATTTTCTAATTTTTCCAAATAAAAGTCATAATCGTTTTTAAAATAATATTTAATTATTTCACCTAAAAATGGTTATGACAGTATGCTTGATGGTATCATTTATTAGAATTGTAACTTCAATCTAGTTAATCTTTGACTCTGTCCTTCCGTTCCATTATCTTGTTTCATGTAAGATATGCATAAGAATAGTGCAGTTCTCCTAGATGATCCAGTTTCGAGTAAGCAATGTCAGTAAGGTTTATATGAATTTCATTTGATTTAAAAATAGAACAAATACTATCATGAGAATACTTAAAAAATATATTTTCAAAACTATATCTGATTAGGTCTAATAAGAAAGTTCTAACTCTAAAATATTAATTATCTCAAATTGAGATAGGCCTTGGTCCCGTTCTCCCCTGTTCATGGGCAAAGCTAAAGACAAAGTCGTCAAGGAAGCTTTCAGAATTCTCAAACTTAATAATATTCTGATGCACCATCCAATAGATTAAATCATTTGGTCCATTCAGCAGTTTAGCTTTTCCATTGTCCATTATATCAACAAATTTATTTAATACAGTCTCGAGCTTAATTAATCTGTCACGAAAATCAAAGATTTTAACATTGATTGTCATTATATATATATAACCATGTTGAGAACATGAAGGTCACAACGGTAAGCTTGGTGGCCATAACATGCCGAATCTATCCAGTTTCTTCTCTGAAGGGGATTGTTTGAAGCGTAAAAGATGTCATAAATTTGTAAGAACCTGGGTTGAGGCAGAGACTCGTTTCAACGGTTTTATGGCATCGAATATGAACAGTCTCTGCATTCGAGGACCTGGCACTCTTGTCGGTACGTTTTCTGGGTTACTTTCTTTATATCAAAGTTGGTTCACCATCAATTTCCAGCTTGCTTCATCATTGTCCATAGATGCTCTGCATCTCATGTTAATTGTTTCCCAAACTTCAGGGACAATACCTTTTGGTTTATTCATTGATTAATATCTGCAAACTGCTTAAACTTATTTCGCTGCTTCCTCTATGATTCCGATGTTTCTAAATCGAATTTGTACATCGATGACCTTCCTTCTAAAGGCTCCATCATGAAAACGAAAAGGGTTAACTTTAAGCTTATGCAAACTCGAAACAAGCATGGACAATTTAAATGAAACTATTGCTGTTTAGAGTTCTATTCAATATTCAGAAATTACATTGCATAAACTTCAGTTCAGGTTATAGTGATGACTGCAAACATGGGGTGCGCCGAATGCCGAAAGAAAGTCTCTCAATTATATCTAAAATAACCGGTAGGCACTTCTAGGCTTAAGTGTATTTGGTTCGATTCGTTTTTGAACCATTTTTCGATTAACTTTAATTATCAAAATTTCATAAAAATTTAGGTTCAAAGTTTTTGTACTTTATTTGACAAAATAACTTTTTATGACTTTTAAACATTATTTAGTGGAGTTTTAAATCATTTTTATAAATATTTATTATGGGTAAACCTCAGAATCATAGGGAAAGTAAGCTTGATTCTAGAATAAAGGAAATCGTATTGTTCAACTTGCAGGACTGAAGGAGTACGTAGTGGATGTCAGCATAAACACGTGATTATAAAGGCAGATTGGGATTCGTTGGGAAGTGAAAAATTATTTTTCTAAGACCGGAATGAGAAAACATTGGCATCCACTTGAAGTCTTCAAGTTGTCTCCAGCATGTGTCGGGTGATGGCAAATCTGATCTCTCCCCAGTGTTGGAGACATCACTGTGTTCAATTACAGTTGTAATAATCAAAACCATTCTTTATGAAAATATAAATTTATCTACACGCAGATGTCATTATTAGATTCAACATTGATAAATAACTTGCGTATCTATAAATAGGAACTAACACTACCAAGTTTGCTAATTTCCACGACGCTAACTACCAAAAGCCAATTGAAGGTGAAGCAGCAGGCTCAAAGACCATGAGTTTCTTCCCTTTTCCTTCATCATACTCTCCAAATGAAGGTAAGTTTAAGTCGAGGAAAAATACTCCGAAGAACCTAGGAGATGGTCGCTTATGACTTCATGATATATCCCATAATTATGCCGAGCAAGCCGATCAAAATGACAAACATGACTGCAAGCCACCGCCGCTGCTACCTTCGCGCCTCACAAGTTCCTAAAAGACTCAAATTACAGAAACGTAAGAAGCAAGGGAGCTTTTGATTGCAGTCTCCCAAGAACGAAAACAAAAGTATTTGCTACGAACAAGACGACATATTTTTGAGAAATAGGGAAAACAAAGAGCTTTCCAATGCAGTCTCTACATGGATTTATTTACCAAGTGATCATTCACAACGGAAGAAAAGGGCAGGGAAGCACAGAATAACTAAAAGCAAAAAAAGTGCTTTTCGCTGTATACATGCAAGCATCGGTCGAGAAGGAACTAGGGAAGGATAGAACAGATAATACTTATTATACACATTTCTAACAATAATTATAATCCATATCGGTTAAAAGTCATGGTCAAATTTCCCTCACCAGTTCTTGGCGAAGCTTGTTATTTTGTTGAATGCCTTGTTCTTTCCTCAGTCAGTTTGTTACAAGAGCTCTTGCCTGCAATTATAGAGAGAATCATCGAGGGTTATTACATTTGTGCTTGTATCACCTTCACATGAAATGTATGTCATTTAGTAAAAAAAGCTTTGGGCTCTAATGGTGCAAAATCTGGCTAGGGAAATATGGAAAACTGCATGAGATTCCTCCTGTTGCAGGGTGCAAATTACAAAGTACTGAATCATAGATTTAGGCTTAGAAGCTCAAAATATACCTAGTAGCAGGGTTCAAATGACGGCCGATAGCGGTGTCCGCGGCCGTATATCTCGGTCACGGCGGTGTCCGAACCGCTATCGCGGAAATACGGTGTGAAGCGGGACACCAATAGCGGCAGATCGTGGCTGCAAGTTAACGGATCGCGGCAATAGCAGACCGCTATCCGCTATTACTCTGTTATTTAATTTTTTTTAAAAAAAGGTTTTTTATTAAAAAAAAATCAGCTCATTCGGAAAAAAATTCAAGATCGCGATATCCTCAATGATCGCAATAACATCCGTTATATCCGCAACCGTGATAAACGCGACCCAACAGAAAATATGATCGCGAACGCTATTTAAAACCCTGCCTAGTAGGTCAAAAATTTTGGTCTGAACAATATCATCTAATGAGAGCAACTGAACAAATGAATGCAGATAATTGACCTTAAACATATGAAATTACAATATTCAGATTACCAAAATAAATACTATATCAAGATAAATGAAATCAATCATGCATATGCAGAAGCACAGAGTGAAACAGAAGACGCAATTAAAAATACCTCGGAAGACATATCTTGAGCTTCAAGCCCTTCGGTAAATGCTCTTGCACCCTGCATTCAGCAACGGAATGTAAACTATTACCTGTCGCAACCGTCTTTCGGTTGGGCCCGGAATTGGGCTTCGACTTGGAATAAAATATTAGAGTCGCCACCGACCATTTTAAAACGAATTTAGGTGGGTCGAACACCATCTTACCTGATCTGCGTTATATCAGAAATGTGTCGGGTTCGGGAGTCGGTTACAATCAATGAAGGATTAGCACCCTTGAACCGCCCTTTCGGTACCAATTAATTTGTCAGTTGTCTTAATTGCGAAAATTAGAAATTTAAATTAAAACTTGAAATATTCAATTCGAATTATTACCTTTGATCGATTGAAATTACCACTGAAAATGCCAAAAAATATTAGATGATAAAATAAAAATAAATACGAGGAAAAAATTCTAAGATAAAATAAGTAACAGAGATAATTAAAAGTAGTAAAAAAGAAAATAAAAAAAATAATAAAGAAAGAAGAAGAAAATAAAATGAATAAAATAAAAATTAAAAGGGTTAGTTAAAAAATAAAATAAGAATAAGAATAAAATAAAAATAAAATAAAATAAAATATTTAAACGTAAACCATGAAAGAAAAAATAATAAATAAAACAAAAATGACTAAATTAAAATAAAAGTAAAATAGAGAGTCCAAAGTAAAAACAAATGCAATTAGTGACCAACTTGAAAGAAATAAAAACATAACTCCAGAGCTACAATATGGAACTCTCTAATGACGCATTCCCTAGTTAACCCAGAAAAATTCTATGAACTCAAAAAATCCTTTGATTTCACGGTGATTCGGTTGGATTTTTTTTGGCATTCTTTACATTAAAAAAATAAACTGGATTTGAAAATTGAATAGGTTCTGTACATATTGACTTCAACGCGGTAATACGAAACAGAGAAAATGCTCTCTGGTAAAGCCCATTTCCTGGGATTCTCTTGAGTTCATCATCGGGGCTCAAATGCGCAAGAAATGGAGCACCACGGCTCTCCTTGGCACTGAATCCCGTCGAACAGTGTAAGGAAACTTGAAACCACGTTATCTTTTTTACTCGTATCCTTGTTCTTCTCCCTTGTATTTTTTCTCCCCAGTCCTCGGTCGAGCGGATTTGATTGTTTCCGAGCCAAAACGCGAACAAGAATCAACATGCAAGGACAATAAAACGAACAAAAAGGTAAAAAATGTACCTTTCTTTTATTTCTTTTTCGAAAACTTTACAAATGCCTTGATTGCTCGTATATCTCTCTAAGTGTTCGTGTGATTTCTTGTGGCTTTGTGTGCGAATCGTGCTTATTTCCGTCGCGTTTCTTGTAAACTCTGAGTATTTTTACGTGTCACCTCCCCCCATTTGCTGGGTTTACAAGCTTATTATTTATAATACAAATAAACCCTATTTTTAGCCTTGTTTGAGTCTTAATCGAACTCTACTTGTGTTGGTTGTTGGTGACGAGCGTCGGACGCTTCGGAGCTGTTGGAGGCGAGAGACGTGCGCCGTGAAACTCGAAGATGGGACCCGTGGCTTGGAGATGCGGCGGTGGCTTGGATGAGATGAGATTAGGGTCTCTGGAACCCTAAACTGATGTGGGTCGTGGGTTTGGGCCTTGTTGGGCCACTGGTTTTGACCTGAAACGTGTAACAAAATAATAAATATATAATATATGTTTAATATAATGTATTGTAAAGGCATGACATATGGGACGAAATAGTGTGTCTACAGCTGCCCCTCTTTGCCCATAGTCGTGTAACGGGGATAGGGCAAAGATTAAAGACACACTTTTCGTTTACCACAAGTGTATCCAAATTAAAATCATCCATATAAGGGGTCGAGTCTCATCGAATATCCTCTGTTGTAGAGTTGAAATCCGATAATTGGACTAAATCACAGAATTACTCCCTCGCCGTGAGGTTGAGTTCAAACTGAGCCCGAAATCCTTCATTGTGAAGTTGAAATTGAACTCGGAGCTTTTGGTAAGTGGCCTCTGAATCATCTTCTGGTTCAAGGTACTCGTCGTGAAGGTGACCTTGATCTGAAGACTGTGGTGTTGTGGGTTACAGATGACTCCTTCGCGCGAAGTTGGGTCAATGTTTGTGAAGTTAGAATTGTATATGGCTCCTTCGTCGTGAAGTTGAGCCTGAGAATTGGATATCCCCCGTCGGTTGAAATCCAATGCAAGTTGCGTTGTTTCGAGGCCAATATCCTTCGTTGTGAAGTTGAAATTGACTCTGAAACTGGGAAGTTGTTTGTTGACAGCCAGCGGCCCCTTCGTTGTGAAGTTGAACTTGTGTTGTCTTGAGTCCAATATCCTTCGCTGTGAAGTTGAATTGGCTCTGAAATTGGGAAGTTGTTTGTTGACAGCCAGCGGCCCCTTCGTTGTGAAGTTGAACTGTGCTGCTTAAACTGGGAAATTTTGTGACAACCAGCGGCCACTTCGTGTGAAGTTGAACTTGTGTTGTCTGGTACTGGGAAATTTTGTTAACAACCAGCGGCCCTTCGTTGTAAAGTTGAACTTGTGTTGTCTTGAGTTCCAATATCCTTCGCTGTGAAGTTGAAATTGGATTGGGAAATTGTTTGTTAACAGTCAGCGGCCCCTTCGTTGTGAAGTTGAACTTGAGCTGTCTCGAGTGGCACGATATCCTCCGTCGTGGAGTTGAAATCGCGGATGGCCCCTTCGTCGTGAAGTTGAGCCTTGACTTGAATATCCTTCGTCGTGAAGTTGAAATCCAAGTATTGTATGTTGCGGGTGGACACGATTCCCTTCGCCGTGAAGTTGAAACCGTGGAGACCCTTTGTTGTGAAGTTTGGCTTCGAGTTAGATATCCTCCGTCGTGAAGTTGAAATCTACTCTCGAGCACATTGTGTTGTTTCGAGCGAAACTGCCTCATGGGAGACAAAATTTGTTTCAAAAGAAACTGTCTCAAGGGAGACAAATTGTTTTAAGGAAAACATATTCAAATATTTGTTCAAGGGAAACCGTTTTCAAAGTAGATGTTCAAGAGAAACTGTCTCAAGGGAGACAAAGTTGTTTTAAGAGAACTATCTCAAGCGAGATAAAATCTTCTAGTGAAAACGGTCTCAAGCGAGATAAATCTTTTTTAAGAAAAACAATCTCAAGTGAGATAATCATCTGCGTTAAATGAGATTGTCTCAAGCGAGACAAAATTTATATTGAAAATGTCGAGTCCGAAGATGAATGTCAACATTTTCAATCTGTCGAGTTGGTGGAAATGTAGCTTCTTGCTGCTGAGTTAAACAACCAACATCAATCTCTAAAGGTGCTTTTGAATCGAGTATCCTTCGTCTTAAAGTCGAAACTGACTCTAAAAGCTGTAAAAATATGTATATGGAAAAAATGATAGATATGATGCTCTAAAATGTATGCATAAGATGCATGTAACATGAATTGGTTTGTTTTATCTCCTGAAAAAGGTCTGATAATTGCATTGGGTTGTTGAATCCCCAACGATGCCCCAATATCCAAAAATGCCCCAATATTTTGATGTTGAATCCTCAAAGATGCCCCAAATGTTCCTCATTCTTGCTTCAACATTGATTCCAAGCATGAGTTTTGTGTCTAAGAGTCACAGTCATTTACCAAGATCCACTCTAAAGAGATTGTCTTGTTTGAAAAAATGTTTTTCTTTCTCTTTTAGTTTCAAAGTCCTGAAAATATCAAAAGAGTTTCAAAAAATGTTTAATCAGAGTTTTGAAAATATTGCCCCTTTCACGGTTTTACAATTGAGACGAATCATAAAACTAGAGTTCATCGGATATCAAAGAATTAATTACAATGTTAATCCTTCATAAATTATAGCTATTTGACAACTGCCAAGATCCAAGCTATCTTTGGGAGATAGTCAAGTAAGGAAAGGATAAAAAGTCTCAGTTATTGTGTTTGGTCAAAGGTTTGGCATTTGATGCTCAAAGGTTTGACATTGGATGCTCAAAAGATTGATGGGTGCTTGCATGCTCCTCTGCTGGAAGTGTTCCTGACTCCCAACCTTTGTTGTCACACTCGGATTGTGCGATGCCTTATCAAGGAATTTACGTGATCGCCTCTGTTGTACATTTTTATTCGAGCCGTCTTTTTAGGTTTTCAACTCGAACCCTCCTTGGTTTCAAGACGTTATTCAGGATTTACGTCTTGAACCCCCCTTTGTTATTTTTCTACCATGCATTAATTACATTTTTTGCAAACAAAGATTAATCCTGATGGACGGGATGAAATCTGAAGATAGTCTCTTCTGTTTAGAAATCCATGTATGATTAGAAGGGACTTTTAAGGCACGTAATGTAGGCCAAGGCTCATGGTTATGAAAGAAAAGGATAAATAGGCCCAAACAAGTGTTTCAGGGTGTTGAACCAAGGATCAATTCATTCTGATGCCTTCATCCTGTCTTTCTCAATTTGGATCTGCTCATATGTTTCTCTGGATTTTCTCTGGATGTTCCATGATCTTCGAGTGAAGTGATTCAGAGATTCGGGAATGATTGTGCTTAATCAATCTCATAGTTTGAAGCTTGATGTGCCATTTGTCTTTAGGGAATCTTTGCATGTGCTTTTGTCCCTTTTCTTTTTGATTTTTGCTCTTTTTCCTTTTGTTCTTGTTTCTCTTTTTCTTTGTTTTTTTGCTTTTTTGCTTCTTTTTTTTGTTCTTGATTGGATCTTCGCACTTGCCATTTGGTCCACTCTTTGGTGTCTCCTTTGATTGATGTCTTCACTCATGTGAGCAGATTTCTTCCACCTTGCCCCCCAATGTGGAGGGTGATCCTTGGTTAGGGTGAATCAGAAGAAAATACTACAGGCTCAAAGGGACAAAGGATATATATTTTCTCCTGTTGTAAAGAGATAAAGAAATAAAGCTGTTCATCATTTCATACATGGAAGTCCTCACAGAAGAGGTATCCCCAGGGGGATAGATTTTCAGGATTAATTTCATTCACATGAAAACAGTGTAGTTAATGCGTAATAGAATTATTTCCAATGAATTGTTTTTTTGCTCCTTGCTCCCAACATATCTTAATGTTCAGGCTCCCGGCGAGATGCCCCAAATTGTGTCTTAGAAGAATGCTCATGTTCAAATGAACAACTCAATGCCTTGGGTATTAAAATGTCAATTTTGAGTCTAAAAAGACAATGGTGTGACTTTATTTGACTCAAAGAAAGGTATGGGTGTATCAAAAAGATAAAGACAATGTTCAAGAATTTCAAAGGGAAGTTATGTCAAAATTTGGTCTTTTTGGTAATGATCAAGGTATTTCATTTTGGGGTTTGAGACATGATAAGAAAGGTCTAATCTTGTCATATGTCAAAAATCTATAATTCTTGAAGAGTTAAAAGAATCCTTAATTCATTTAATATTCGAAGAACTAAAGATTAAATTTGTTCAATTGCTCCACCTTAGAAAGTAGCATAAATTCAATCGTTTAAAAGATTAAGCAAACAGAATATCAGTGACGTGTTCAAACAAAACAATCCTCTAAGTGCAAATAGTATATGCCATGCCCCTTCTTCGGCTGTCAATGCCCCTGAATCCGCAGGTTTTGGATCTTGCGCTTCAGCGCCTTATAGTTCTCAGAGGAATGTTGGAGCATCCTATGTGGCAACTACAAATAGCTTCAACATTGTAGCCCTTAGAATATGTGGACTTTTTGCTCAGATCATTGGCAGGTTTAGTCGTACAACCAGCTGATTGGGCTCATTCGTTGTGAGAGTTTTTTATGATGTTACAATCTTGCTTCCATGTGGTGTCATATGGTTAAAACCACTTCATCGAATTCTCCATGAAGAGATTTCATGTTTATGAAAATACTTAAAAAGAAATGTATATGCAAAATGCAAAAATGCATGAAATGCATGAAATGTTCGAGGCATTGATCCAAAAACATGTATGTTATTGTAAATAACCTTTATTGGGACAAAAGTGTTTATCTTTTAAGAGACAATAAACATATTTAAAGGTACATCCGGACTAAATCCTCTAGGCCGGAACCGGTTGACTAGTCATTTGCCTTCGTCTTTCACAGGTTGAATAACCTGTCGAACCGCTCCGGCCTCTCTGGATGAACCGTGAAAATGTTGAGTTTTTTGTATTGGTTCCCAAAAAGTGTCGAATGACTTCATCTCTGGCTTTCATCCTTTGGTGAATCGGAAATTCCATTGAAATCCTCCATCAAATGGGTTATTCGAAGTTCATTTGCTTGTTTCTTGAATTTGTCGACAATGACTTGCCATCTTGTTCCTGTTGTCCTTGAATGGACTCTCGAGGTCAGTAACCTTTTTCTCGTCTTGCCTCTGCCACCTTTGTCAACCCATTTTTGAAAAGTTACTTTTGATGTACTTGATGGGCACCATGAATGTGACACATAGTTGTCTTGCAATTGTCCTCATTTTCTTTCTGAGCCTTTTCGGACCATAGCCGGACCCTTGCGTTTTATCTCTTGTATTACAACCCCTTTGTCCATTAATGCAGATTATTCATGTTTTAACAAAAAGTTTTTGGGGATCAACACCTCTTTTAAATGATGCAAATAATGAAAACAAAATAAATAGAACAAAAGTAAAATAGAGTTAGTGAGATAAATCAAAACAATAATAAAAACGAAAAATCCTACCCTACATGATATCTACACCGCATGCTTTAATTCCTACCCGGACATGATCTCTATCCTGCATGCTAATTTCACACAAATCCTAACCGCATATTTGTCTAGTTCTCATGCTTGAACAGAAATAAAGCAGGAAATAATTCCGGCACCTAGGGTTTGAATGAGGTTTTGAGGTTGGGCTCTAACTTCTTGTAGTCTCCCGAGTTAGGTTTTAAAAAATGGTACTCGAGTTCTCCTTGCTGGTGCCTCCTTAGGCTTACCAGACCCTTAGTCTTAAACTCATCACAGGCTTGTGTGAACTAAGTTAAACTCGAGAGGACACATTCCCTTATGCCCGCACGGTGATAAACCACACGAAACATAAGGTATATGAATCTCGAAGGCTACTTGCTAGGCCCGCACGGAATAAATTCACACGAAGGCGTCGCTTTCACCCCCACTTAAATAGGGTTTGGAGCTCGGGTATAGAGCCTGAGATGAAAACTTTGAAAAATCTGAAATCATTAAAAAATGTTAGTACAACTATTTATTTGAAAATAATTAAAGATAAATAATTGGAATTGAATAAATAAATTAAAATTTAAATTTACCGTTTTCGCATAAAAGATAACCGAAAATTAATTTCGGCCTGACTCACTTACCTGTCCCCAGCAGAGTTGCCAAACTGTCGCAACCGTCTTTCGGTTGGGCCCGGAATTGGGCTTCGACTTGGAATAAAATATTAGAGTCGCCACCGACCATTTTAAAACGAATTTAGGTGGGTCGAACACCATCTTACCTGATCTGCGTTATATCAGAAATGTTCGGTTCGGGAGTCGTTACAATCAAGGAAGGATTAGCACCCTTGAACCGCCCTTTCGGTACCAATTAATTTGTCAGTTTGTCTTAATTGCGAAAATTAGAAATTTAAATTAAAACTTGAAATATTCGATTCGAATTATACCTTTGATCGATTGAAATTACCACTGAAAATGCCAAAAATATTAGATGATAAAATAAAAAATACGAGGAAAAAAATTCTAAGAATAAAATAACAGATAATAAAGTTAGTAAAAAAGAAAATACCAAAAATAATAAGAAAGAAAGAAAATAAAATGAATAAATAAAATTAAAAGGGTTAGTTAAAAAATAAAATAAGAATAAGAATAACTAAAATAAAATAAAATAAATATTTAAACGTAAACCATGAAAGAAAAAATAATAAATAAAACAAAAATGACTAAATTAAATAAAGTAAAATAGAGATCCAAAGTAAAAACAAATGCAATTAGTGACCAACTTGAAAGAAATAAAACATAACTCCAGAGCTACAATATGGAACTCTCTAATGACGCATTCCCCTAGTTTAACCCAAAAATTCTATGAAACTCAAAAAATCCTTTGATTTTCACGCGTGATTCGCTTGGATTTTTCTTTTGGCATTCTTTTACATTAAAAAAATAAAACTGGGATTTGAAAATTGAAATAGGTTCTTGTACCATATTTGACTTCAACGCGGTAATACGAAACAGAGAAATGCTCTCTGGTAAAGCCCATTTCCTGGGATTCTCTTGAGTTCATCATCGGGCTCAAATGCGCAAGAAATGGAGCACCAAGGCTCTCCTTGGCACTGAATCCGTCGAACAGTGTAAGGAAACTTGAAACCACGTTTATCTTTTTTACTCGTATCCTTCTGTTCTTCTCCCTTGTATTTTTTCTCTTCCCCAGTCCTCGGTCGAGCGGATTTTGATTGTTTCCGAGCCAAAACGCGAACAAGAATCAACATGCAAGGACAATAAAACGAACAAAAAGGTAAAAAATGTACCTTTCTTTATTTCTTTTTCGAAAACACTTTACAAATGCCTTGATTGCTCGTATATCTCTAAGTGTTTTCGTGTGATTTCTTGTGGCTTTGTGCGTGTAATCGTGCTTATTTCCGTCGCGTTTCTTGTAAACTCTGAGTATTTTTACGTGTCACCTCCCCCCATTTGCTGGGTTTACAAGCTTATTATTTATAATACAAATAAACCCTATTTTTAGCCTTGTTTGAGTCTTAATCGAACTCTACTTGTGTTGGTTGTTGGTGACGAGCGTCGGACGCTTCGGAGCTGTTGGAGGCGAGAGACGTGCGCCGTGAAACTCGAAGATGAGGACACGTGAGGCTTGGAGATGCGGCGGTGGCTTGGATAAGATGAGATTAGGGTCTCTGGAAACCCTAATCTGATGTGGGTCGTGGGTTGCTGGGCCTTGTTTGGGCCACTGGTTCTTGACCTGAAACGTGTAACAAAATAATAAATAATATATAATATATGTTTAATATAATGTATTGTAAAGGCATGACATATGGGACGAAATAGTGTGTCTACATTACCAAAAGAATAAAGATAACAAGTGAAGTGATAACAAAAACATATGCAGCAAAATCTTACCGAAGCAAACTCAGCAGCATTTGCATGCCTGCCATCTGAAACAGAGACTCCCGCTGAAGATCCCTCCTCCGACCCTTCTTCTTGAACTGGTGGTGGAGAAACATAAACCATTCTCAATTTGCACTCCTCAACTACGTCCAGCTTCTTTGTTGAACTATAACATGAAACATCCCATAGATATAAGCTGCACATATTTCCTAATTTGAATAGTAAATAACATAGTAAAATAAATAATCACCCACCATTTCTGCAGTTATATCCTTTGCCGTTACACCATCATTCACTTTTACACTTTGAAGGAGGATTTGTCCTGCATTGCATATCAGGAGGAGCTTCCTTTTACGCTTGCATTGTAACTAAATCAAACATTGTATTAGAATTTACCATGAATCCAATAATAAGTAGAGATAGAACCAGCAAATATAATTAATTAGTGTACCCATAACTTCACATGTGGATCGAGGCAAGACGACCCTGCGTTGGGACGAACGCATACTTCTTTGGATTTGTTTTGTTGTTTTCACCTGAAAACAAAATCAATTGTAACTCAAAAGGAAACGTACGATATCAATTGAGATTTAAACCTTAAAAATCAAAGGTTTCAGGTTCGAAAGGTTGATCCATTCATAATTCCTGATTTATTTTCATCAACCAAACAGAGGCTTACGGCGTCGCATTATTTAAGTGTAAGAAGATTAGGATAAATCAAGATCAAAGTTATAAAACTACATTGAAAGGGGAAATTCGAAGCTGATAAATAAAGATGCGTACCTTGAAAGACATAATTATCAGTTTATTCGACAATTGAAGAGAACATGAAATCTGCTTCCTCAGCTCAACATTTCACCAAAAACCACAAGAAAGTGAAGAAACAATCAAAACAAAGCGAAAACCGTAGATCGTGGAGGGAAAATAAAAGAACATACAAGGAAACTTGAGCTCAGAAGGCTCGCTGGTGAGAAGTTCGCCCGTGCTCATTTGGAAGTAATGGCTAAATATGTTTTATTTTCTATTTAATTTGTATCTATATCTATAATTTTAATATTTGATAAACAAATTTAAAACTCAAATAATTATTAAACATTTTCATGTGATAACATTTATGCAATCCAATGTAGAAAATATTAATTTCATTTGACTAAATTCTTTTAAAAGAATATCAAACAACACCCAACATTAAAAAATATATATTTTAAAAAATATGAATTGATAAATCCTTATTTTAATAACAAAAAAAGAGATCATAAAAACTTTTAAAGTTCTAGTTAAATTCCAACTACCTACCATAAAAGGTTTTAAAAGCCATCGTTTAAAAAATAAATAAAAATAAATTTTAGTCTCGGAACTAATAATATTTTTCAATTTAATTTAAATATTTATATTCATAATTTTTTAAAATTAGACAACTTTCCTTCCCAATAATCACATCTCCAAGAAGAAAACAATTCAAGTGGTAGTTGCCAAGTTTCAAAAATGACTTGGCCAACATGGAATCGCCAATAGAGAGGGTGGAACAAGCTTGCTGGTGACCAAATTTGTAGGGTATCATCCACCTTTACTTCTTCAAGCAATATAGGAAAATGTGCATTCAGCTTGGTCATACTTGTCAGTAAGTTTAAGCATTCAGGCCTTTAATGTGCTGTGCAAGTCCTCTAAGGACCTATCAAAGCAAAACAGAAGCAAAGATTATAATAAAATGATCTGATTTGGACTACCAAGCATAAAATGTTTGTGATACTCACCATCTTGGTGTCCTCAAGTGCCACTTCCAATGCATCAATTTTCTGTCCCATAAAGATGATCAAAATCATTGGCATTGGAATTGTTATGAACTGAAGAGAATAGAAAAGGAAAAATCGAAGGAATAAAGATTTTAGAAGAAGAAAAGCAGGGAGATTTCATAAATCAGAATTTCATTCATTCATCAGGTATCTTTTCATTCCTTAGTACACAGTTTTATTTGATTACAATGTACTATAGCAAATAGAAAGAGGACAGTGTATAACTAATTCTCTAACAAACTCCTTGCAGCTGAATATTTTCCTCCTTTGGGTTGATAACTGGATCCACGTCTGAGCCCATCTCCTCTGCCCAACTCTTCTTCTGCTGCCTCCAGGTAATTTCCTTCAGCCCTCTCATTACAGATTGAAATCCTAATTCCCATATCTCTTTTCTCTCAATCCCTAATTCCTCGTCCATTTCCCCAATTCCTCGCTTCAATTCTAATCTCCTCGTCCTGGTCTTCTCTTGCAAGCGTGACAATACCCCCTTCATCAGCAGATCCTTGTCCACAAGGATCGAATTCAGGAAACTGGGCACGCAAGACTGTATAATCTTCCCAGGTATCATTTTCAGCACTTAAATTCGTCCAACGAACCAATAATTGAGTAACAGCACGGTTATCTCGTTTGACAATTTGTTTGCTTAAAATTTTCGCAGGAAATACTTTAAGTTGTCCATCATCTATTACCTGAGGAGGGTCTGATGAAGCCACTGTCTTCTCTCCCAGTTTCCGCTTCAAGAGACTGACATGGAAAACTGGGTGTATTTGAGCAGTTTCTGGTAACTCCAATTTATAAGCAACCTCACCAATCTTTTCAAGAATTTTGTAAGGGCCATAAAAACGGGCTGCTAACTTCAAATTTTTTCTGATTGCCAGGGAAGTCTATCGATATGGTTACAGTTTCAGGTACACCTCTTCTCCCACATCAAATGTTCTTTCACTGCGATTTTTATCAGCTTGCTGTTTCATACGATTATGGGCTTGTTGTAACTGGTCTCTAACAATTTGCCTGATCTGCTCTCTATCTTGTAATAACGTCTGAACACTGTTAACATTAGATTCAGAACACCATAACATTGTAGGAGGTTTATATCCATAGAGTGCCTCAAAAGGGGTAATTTTAAGTGATGTATTATAGTTTGTATTGTACCACCATTCAGCATGAGGTAACCATCTTGTCCATTGAGTAGGTTTTAGGAAACACAAACCCCTTAAGTACTGTTCAAGACATTGATTCACTCTCTCAGTTTGACCATCCGTCTCGGGATGGTAAGCTGTGCTAAAGAGTGTGCTGGTTCCCAACTGCTTCATTAGTTCTTTCCAAAAAAGACTAGTGAAGGTCTTGTCACGATCTGAAATGGCCATCTTAGGCTGACCATTAAGCTTATAAACTTGATCTAAATATAATTTAGCTACTTCCATAACAGTGTAGGGATGAGAAAGTGCTAAAAATGAGCATATTTAGTCAATTTATCCACTACTACTAAATGCAATTCTTATGCAAAGAATTAGGTAAACCTCCAATAAAATCCATAGTTATCACCTCCATGCTTGTTGAGGAATAGGAATTGGTTGTAGCAGCCCAGGTTTAGCCACATGCTCCACCTTAGTGCGTTGGCAGACTTCACATTTCTGTACATAATTAGAGACCATGGTTTAAGTTTAGGCCAATAAAAATAAGATTTCACCGCTGGTATGTAGCCTGAATACCCGAATGCCCTCCATGAGGAGAATCATGTAAAATCTGTAGTATCTGTAATCGTAAATCACCGGACTTTCCCACGTAAACTCTATTTTTGTAACGCAACACCCCTTTTGAATACTTCCAATTTGGAACACTAGCAGTGTTAATAGTTACTGCTCAAATGTATTCTTTAGCATCAGCATCATTTTCATAGCTTTGTTCAATGTCCTTAACCCAAGCCGGAATTATAATCATGGCACCCATCCTTTGACACTCACCCACCTGCACAAATTGTCTTGACAAAGCATTAGCCACAACATTATTACGCCCTTTTCGATATTGAATTTTGTAGTCCAAACAACAATTTAGTCAATCCTTTCTTCTGAATTGTTGTCGTGAGTTTCTGCTCTAACAAATACTTCAAAGGCTCGTGGTTTGTTTAATGATAAACGGACCACACTCAAGATAATGTCGCCATTTCGAAACTGCCAAAAGAATAGCCAAATATTCCTTCTCATAAATAGAAAGGTCCACGTTTTTAGGGCTTAAAGCTTTGCTAAGATAGGCCAAAGGACGACCTCCTTGGGATAAAACAACCCCAATACCTTCTGAGCTTATATCAGTTCCTAAACAAAATTCTTTAGTAAAATCAGGAAGAGCCAAAACTGGAGCCTTACACATTACTTCCTTCAATTGATTAAAACATGTCAATGCTGTAGGAGTCCATATAAAACCTTCCTTTTTTAACATCATTGTAAGTGGTCGACTAATTGCACCATAGCCTTTGATGAACCTTGTATAATAGCCTGTTAGCCCCAAAAATCCCCAAAGAGATTTTAAGTTTTGAGGAATTGGCCAATTTTTCATAGCAGCAATTTTTGATGGATCAGTGGAAACCCCTTGAGCATTAATAATATGGCCTAAATATTCCACTTGTGGTTGACCAAAATAACATTTACTCCTCTTAGCATATAGATGATGTTGTGTCAATATTTCTAAAACTCTTCTCAAGTGTCGTGCAGGAGCAGACAATGTAGTGCTGTACACTAATATATCATCAAAAAATACTAGAACAAACTTTCGCAAATAGGGAGTGAACAGATCATTCATAAGAGATTGAAATGTAGCAGGTGCATTAGTAAGACCAAAGGGCATTACCTTGAATTCAAAATGTCCATGATGAGTGCGAAAGGCAGTTTTGTAGATGTCTGTAGGCTGAATTCGAATCTGCCAGTAACCAGACCGTAAGTCCAACTTAGAAAAATAGGTTGCTCCATGTAATTCATCTAATAAATCCTCCACCACTGGTATTGGAAACTTATTTTTACTGTCTGGTTGTTTAATTGTCTATAATCGACGCAAAATCTCCAAGAACCATCCTTTTTCTTAACAAGTAAACAAGGTGAGGCAAAAGGGCTCTTGCTTGCTTGAATGACAGAAGTTGCTAGCATATCAGAAATTTGTCTTTCCACCTCTGCTTTTTGATGATGTGGAAATCTGTAAGGCCGCAAATTGACCGGGGCTGCACCCGGTTTAAGTGTAATTGAATGGTCATGTACTCGTTTAGGAGGTAATCCTTTAGGTTCATCAAAAACTCTTGCAAATTCTGCTAATAATGGTTGTAGCTCATGAGGCACCTGCTGCTCCTCAATTTCCATAGTTAAGAAATAAATTTCTCCCAATAAATTTGGATCATTGGCAGTAATCTTTTGCATTTTGTCATTAGAAACTGTTTTCATAAGGAATGGTGCTTGATGTCCTTGAATAGATAGTTGTTGTCCCTCATTCTCAAAAGTAATAGTCATAGCATTAAAATCCATAAGGATTGGACTATATTTGCGCATCCAATTGACTCCAAGAACCATATCACTGCCTCCCAGATTAAGTACCCAAAAATCATGAAAAAACTGATGGCCTTGCATAATCCAACATAACTGATTGCTCTTAGCTGAACTGAATAATTTCTCACCATTAACAACTGTAATGGCTAGTGGTTGAGTTGAAACTAACTCAG